CCTCAGGGAGGCTTTGAGCCGCTTGAGTTGTGAGCCGGCCATTTTGTCGAGCGTAACTGATACTCGGCGTTGTTGTCGCTGAGGCACGAAACTCCATCAAAAAGCAAATCGGTCCTCGCACTTGCCCAAATTTTTTGAGCGGGACGGTATGCTTATCTTATCGGGATGGTGGGGATGGATTGACTGAGGTGGGCGGTGGCGCAAGGCAGAACCCATGGATGCTATGGCTTGAGCTCCGAGCATCCATCATCGTACAAGCTACATCCTCCATGCAGCCGTGTGCCTTGAGTTTCCCACACGCGAAAGCTCAATGCTTGAGAATCAATAGGCGACCATGCTCCATAAAGTTGTTTTCAAGAACCAAAAAACATGACTTTAATGTCATTTATGCGCGATGAGCGCATCATCCTCGTTGGCATTGGCGCCGCTACGTTTGGCTTGGTCACTATGATGACCCAGATGCTGACGTACATTCGCGACGACAACGAAGTCAAAGTCACTCCGCCAAAAACGCAGTACATCACTCAAGAGACAGAAGACGCACTTGGCCTTGATACTCTCGACAAGCTATTATGCCATCCCAATTTCTCCATTCGGGATGTCGCCGTCAAAATACTTTGCGACCGTGCTGTTAACGACAGCGGTACGGTGCGACAGCTCCTCTACGGCATCACGCGACCGGACTACGATTCTCGTATGAAGAATCTTCGTGCTCTGGCAACGCTTACTGGGCAGACTAACGGTAGGCAAGGCAATTTTGTTTTGCAAGACGGACAAGCTGACTGACTTGTAGACTTCGCAGAGGGCCTGTCGAAGTTGCACACATGGAGAGCGTACTCTGCCCTTGTCAGATCCCTCGAATTAAGTCTCGACGATACGGAGCAAACAAAACTCGACGACAAATACTGGGACGAATACTACCTTCGCGATATGGCTGAGAGGTTCTGCCTCATGTTCGTACTCGAGCTCATCACTAAGTACGGTGCCGACATGCTGGTCAAGGCCAAGTTTGTGGAAAAGTGGTTGGCCAAACAGCATTGGGGGGACACGGAAGCCGAAAGGCAAGAAAACTTCATTTACTATATGGAACACAAGAATAACCGCATCGTCGACATTGTTACGAGGATCGCACACACTACCCAGGGAGCAAAGGCGATCCTCGCCTGCAACCTTGCCGCTAAGACGAGTTTCGACCTCAACCCGGACACCAACTTGGCCGGATTCACCATTGCCTTACAGTCCACATTGTGCAATGCAGACGTTGATGACGATGCGGAAGCGCTGCTAGCAGTCGAGCAAGTCCCTCGGACACGAGAGCACTCGGCCGAAGAACAGCGTCTTAGGCGGCAGCACCGTGAGGCAATGGTGTTCAACGACGGTACCAGACCGATAGGAAGGGAGGACATAATCGAGAGAAGCCACGATTCGCCAAGCTAAACACCAAGCATGGTTCCAGCAAAACAGAAAAGAAAACTCCCAGCAACACTGGCAGGATCGCGAAAGTTTCCGACAGGAATACACATTGTACGCTCAAGTATGGGTTCGAAGACAGCATCAACATAGCAATGAGTGACAGCCGATGTGCTGTCAGATTCCCTATGGAGGAACTCCGACTCAGCACAGACCGGCGAAAGGATGGATAGTCAGGGACACTCTTAAGCCATTGACATTGAGTAGGGGCAGGGTAGCCTCATGTCGTACGACATGAGTTAGACGAAAGGCACGGGTCAAGATGCGGCACATGTACAGCATTCGCGTCTAATTGACCCGGGAGGTGGGAGAGTCGACCAGATAATTTAAGGGGGTGGGCTTCTTCCGTGAGCAACAGCCTGCATCGGTGCAGCCAGCTTAGCAGCATAACACCAGCGATGGACTTATGATGAGACGCAAAAGAGAGGATCGACTTGATCCTCAGCTTGGTTCATGAACTGCCGCTCTTACCCCGCCGCCTGTCGTGCATGATGGACCGAGGGGTCAAGGTGATAGATTCGCGAACCTAGGTGATTTCGTCTGATGATGGATGCCCTTGGGCCCTGAGGAACTCCCAGGTTCCGGAGTCCAGCTTTAAGAAATTAGCGCGTAAACGCACTGAACCGGTGCACCCTGTGACACCAGTCAAGCCCACCTGCTGTCTGCACCCGATTCGGAGGCTTGTTCCCAGAAGCTTTGACACTAGACCCCGGGACCCGTCTTTCATCGTCGGCTCGTACGTTGTACCCATTTCTCGACCGACCAGGCGGCCCTAGCACGGCTCATCCGGTTCATCGGTTCTTGAAAGCATGTGGAGTAAATATCGTAGAGTGCTCTCAGTTGAAATATCGAATGGGAATGATGCATTGGATGACGAACAAGCTGAATATGACTTGCGCCGGTCTGACTCGAATCAATGTTGTTTACTTGAGCTTGATGCGAGGGTTTGATACGGGCAACTTGGTGACGAGCCGGAATGCGGGCTCTCTCAACTTCTCCAGTGTATCCGTACTCTGTATCCGTACTCGGTAGTCAGCAGCGACCGTTTGGCGGATTCGATGCGACGCTGCCCTTTCCTAACTGGTGCTGATTCGCATCATGCAGCCGCGTGACGGGCTGCAAGGGGGATCCATCTTCTTTTCGACGGATAACCTGGAGCCTCTTTCTGTTTTGAGAGCCAAAGACAGTAGCAATGCCGCAATGCTCGGAAGCACAACACGACTCATCCCCTGGCTACTTTTGATTCGGTTCGGCCGTTGAGGATGAACAGGTCCTCACGGGCGGGCTGCCGGGATGAGGGGACCTGATGAGGTAACATCTGTTGTGGTATGTGACCCTCCAAATCCATCAGAATTCGACCGGTGTCTGTCTAAATTTGGGAGGCGCAGACGGAACGAACTCGTGCATCAAGCCAAAGGTAAGATTGCCCGGCGATATTGGACTGTGAGTGGTTGCTCGCAATAATTACTCTGATGCTACGCCACTCACAGTGTAAGTTACATTGACACATTGGATAGTGATTGCTTTTCAGAGATGATAGGGTCCATGTGTGACTGCAGAAATTTCGATGAAGCACACCACCAAGATGAGAGGAGGCAGATTTTCCTACCCATGGTGTGAGTAGCTTTGCTGGTGAACCACCCGCTGCATGGCAACGAGCAACGGCGGCGTGAGGGAGAGACAGGTTCTGTACGCCGTAGACGGCGAACACGTTGAGGTGCATGCAGGCGGTCAAGCTGCCCCTGCTGGGCTGGGCTGGGCGTCTACCACCTCCGCTGTCTGCATGCAGCGTTAAGCAGCCACCGGTTCGGACGATGCAAAGCTACGACAGCGTCATGGCAACCGCGAGGGGAATGGGGAGCAGCTGGGGCCACTGACGAGTCTTCTTTTGTGCCTTCTCGACGTTCCAGGGTCTTTTTCTTGTGTGAGATCTGCGGCCGCGCTACGATGTGTGATGGGGAAGATGAAGGAGCGATGCAGGCTGGTGGCCCAATTGCAGGCGAGCATCTACTCGGTCCCCTACCTTTAGGTACCTCGTCACCTCATGAAAGCTTCAAGGCCTGGTAGCCGTACATAAGGTACTCCGTAGACGAAGCTGCCTGTCCAGTGACTGACTGAATTTGGATCCACGTAAACAAGTAGCTGAGCTGTTGCTCCGCGATACAAAGAGACGGCTGTGGAATGTGCCCGACCTGAAGAGACCAAAACCAAGAAGACCAACACAGACGCACTTGAGTCTTGCTCGTTTGGTCTCGTCTCAACTCAGATATAGCTCTCTCCTTCCCAATCGTTCGTCTTCCAGTCTTCCGTCTGTCTCGCATCTTCCTTCCCAGGTCGTGTGCCACCGCGTATGTGTCTTGCTCTTGTCATTCTTTGCATCCCCCCATCCCGCCATTCCACCTCATTTGCGAATCTACGGCTCCTACCTCTCCTCACTCCTCACCTCAATCACAGAGTATTGAGTATTTTACCCAAGAATACCACCTTCCGACGACCATACGCCTCCGTCACAGTACCTGATCCTACCGCAAGGGTAACGCTACTCCAACTGACGGATCACCAACCCATTTCCAGCTCCCCTTGACATCCATCACCCCTGCATCTCGTTGGTCTACGGATCCTTACCCAAAGAGCTGAACCAAAAAGTGGTCAACGTCTGAGACCCCATCCCAAGGAGTCAGGACGGCCGTGCTCTTTCACAAGGGCTCACAAGGGGAAAGGAGGCTCAGAGCGTCACAAAAAGCCCCTCGTCTGGCGACCACTTTTCCTCTTTTACTTGTGCTGGGCTTCTTTTGTCCTTCGTCTTCTCATCGTCGCCGTCGTTGTCGACTGCCCCGGTATCTTTGCCCGGGCCTCTTTCTTTCGCTCTCTCTCCAACTCATACGTAACCCCCGGTATCAGTCGGCGCTGGTCAAGCTGTTCGGAGCTGCCAGATGATCTGCCAAGCTCATTGAAAGACGGACTCGCAACGACTGTTAGAGACAAATCATTCTCCACGTCAAAGACACGCCCAAGGCCCCAAGACGATCACACCTCACGGTTCTTTAGCTCTTAGCGCTCTTTCGGTATAGCGTCCGCCTGTCTATCTGCCAGTTTCCCACCTACCTCCCAATCGACCGAAATTTGTCCTGTCCGCCACGTCTTTGCGCTTGCTTTTCCCACCCAAGGCTGTCAGATAGTTACGAATCAACCCTCCCGTTCTGTCGCCCAACACAGCCTGCCTCGCGCCTCTCATTCGCTGTTCGGCTGCAAGTGCGACCAAGGCAAGCAACCTTAGTTGACGTTGGCCCTAAGATACCTTACCTTGCGGGCGACGAGTGGGGCGTTCGGGAGTCAACACCACCACAACCTGGAACCTGGTCTTACCTGCGCCGCCTAATAGTGAGCCAAGGCCAGTAAAGCTGCCATCCAGCGCGCAATCTAGCGGTCGCATTACTGGCCGGCACCTTGCACGCGAGCACCCGCGCCCAATAATTTTCTGGATCTGTCTGGCCTTAAACCCCCAAATCGACCCGACCTGACTGTCCATCATGTCCGTCACCACAACAACAGCGACCGCCGCATACGCGCCGACCCATAGAAGTCTTGCCCACCCGCCGCGAACTCTTCGCAAAGCTACCAGCTTCACTAGCAACTTCGCCTCCTCCACAACCGCTTCCTCTCCCAGTCTTAATTCCCTCTACAACACTCATTCGCGACTTACGCCCTCGCATCAATCGCTCCCGCGCAAATCCTCCTTGGCTGCTCTTACTCCCAAGTCTCTCGCCTCGATCCCCGATGTAAGCGAGTCCTATGCCTACAACAGCGTGCTAGCCGAGTCGCCCGATCGCAAAATGCCACCCGCCACGCCCGGTAGGGCCGGGACCGACTTCGTTCTCGGTGACGTCGTTGAAGTCCCGGGCAACATGTTAGGCACCGTCCGTTTTATTGGTTCGGTGGATGGAAAGAAGGGCACCTTTGCTGGTGTCGAGCTGCATCCCGAGTTCTCCCAGCGGGGCAAGAACTCGGGCGAAGTAGAAGGGTAAGTTTGCGCCCAACCAGCTTGTTAATAGCATTCGCGCCTGACTGCATTTAGTGTTTCCTACTTTACTACGACTCTTCCTGGCGCAGGCATCTTCCTCCCTCTCAACAAAGCCGTGAGACGAGACTCTCCTCCTGGCTCGTCTTCCAGCTCGTTTCCTCACACTCCCACAGCCAGCACCGTGGGCGGTCTCAAGGTCGGCACGCAGAACTCCACGAACACACCTCCGACGCCGTCAGTGCCGCTATTCAGCAAATCTGTTGGCCCTGGCATTGCCCCCGGCCGATCAGTCAGTCCTCAACTGAAGAAATCGATGAGCAGGCCTTCTGTACGCCCAGAGTCACCCGTACGAAAATTACAGATGACCCCAGGACCAAGACCATCACTGGCGACGCCCGGAAAGGTGCCTTCCAAATACAGCTCTCCCGCCCCGAACCGCTTCGCGCAGAGCGTTCGTGGAACGGCTGGAGACCCGAGCAAAGGTTCACGATTGGATAGGAAGCCAAGTGTTGGTCCGCGCAGTGCCTCTGCCCTTGGCCAAACGTCAATGTTTGACGAGGAGCCGATGCCCCAGCCACCAGCCACTCTGCAGCGAACGCAGACCAACGGAAGCACCAATTCGGTATCTTCGTACAGCTCCAAGTTCAGAGTACCGTCGCGGGCTGGAGCCGGCTCAAGGGCCGCATCACGAGCTCAGAACGACGACGAGGTTGACCGGCTTAGAGCACAACTGGACGACCGTGAAAGGCAGTTGAGGGATCAAGCATCTACATTAGCGGAGATGGAGAGCAGTTTAACCGAGCTTCAGACTCTTATGGAGAGTTCGGATCTGTCAGCACCCAAGCGCAACAGTCTCGACGATAAGGACTCGATGCAACTTCGCGCATTGGTCAGAGAAAAGAATGAGAAGATTGCGATGCTCACTGCCGAGTTCGACGCACACCGAGCCGACTTCCGAAGCACCATCGACACCCTCGAAATGGCTAGTTCCGAAACCGAACGAGTGTACGAAAAGCGCATCGATGAGTTGATGATGGAAATGCGTGAGCTCGAATCGCGGACGGATGACGTAGATTCGGTTGCTCGTCAGTTGAAGCAGCTCGAGGAGTTGGTTCAAGAGCTCGAAGAGGGTCTCGAAGACGCACGACGCGGTGAAGCGGAAGCAAGAGGGGAGGTTGAATTCCTCCGTGGTGAGGTCGAGCGCACCCGAACCGAGCTGCGCAGGGAGCGCGAAAAGGCTTCAGCCGGAATGAACGGCACCACGGGTCCGAGCAACGGAGACCGTGGCTCCGTTTCCAAGGAATTGGAGCAGAAGGAAGATGAGATTCGGGGTCTTAAGGCGATCATTCACTCTCTCAGTCGCGATTCTGTTCCTGGGGCCGACAAAGCTGAGGACCCCTCCGTACGTGAGAACGCGATGGCTCGTGAAAGGCTGGAGCTCGAGTTGGCAGAGCTCAATGATGTCGTGAAAGACAAGAGCCGTCGCGAGGAGGAGCTTGAGCGGGAAGTGGAGAGACTTCGTAGGGGAAGCGTCGCGACTCAGCTCACCGGACCTCTGGCCAACGGCGGTGCGCAGCGTTCTTCATTGCGCGATTCTCGAGATACCGTCATCTTGATGCGCAACAGCGAGCCCCAGTCTCCCACGACGACGCACAAGCGTGTTCGTACACTTGACACGATGCCCGAAAGTGACGCCTACTCGTCAGTCACGGATAATAGTACTCTTTGGTGCGAAATTTGCGAGACTGGCGGACACGATATCCTTACTTGCACCAACATGTTTGGCAACGAGGGCGGCAAGACCAACGGCGATGCCGGCAAGGCCATCAAGGAGGACCTGAAGCCCATTCCCGCTGAGGACAAGCCGGCTCCACTTTCGCCAGTCAAGTCCAAGCCACTTGCTCCTCCGCCGACTGTCAAGATCTTCCCGAACCCGATGGATTCCGGCCCTGTCGCTGGAAAGGAGAGCGGGATTGTCGACGTCTCCAAGTGGTGTGCCTTGTGTGAGAGAGATGGACACGAAAGCGTCGATTGTCCATTCGAAGATGCATTCTAGGCGGATGGACTTTGAATCTCGACAGCAAGCGTTGTTTTGGGTTGAAAGTAGGGCATGGCCACCGGTCTTTCAGAGTCAGAGTACTTTGTCTCCCATTTTGTGTAGGATTCAAGGGCGGCTTGAGCGATGGAAGTTTTTCGTTCGTGATAGCATTTGTAGCGATGATACCACAGCTCGATGAGAATTGTGTTTCGAGGAGTTGGATTCGCATATATTGAAGTCAATCGACAGCAGGGGATGGTGGCATGAGGTCATTGGCTTGCTTTGTTGACATTCACTTCACCCTGAGAGGTTTCTAAAACAATAATAGTAGTAGACCTTCAAAACATGAATAATGAATCCATTGCAGACACCCATGAACAACGTTGAGAGGGTGATTTGTTGACTGGAGACTCTCATGGGATGTGAAGCTCCTCGGCCGAGAAGTTTATATCACCAAGTGTCCCCAGAGGACGGGCTGCATTCAGACGACAAGGGTCTTCCCGTCGCTGCCGGCTGGGGGGGCCTCTGGTGTTCAATACCGCTGTTCAGTGTGTGCCCTTCCACGTTTCTCCACCTCAGAGGGTCCCCGGTGGCGTTTCACGGCCTTTGCGCACGACGGGGGATTCGTACTTCCAATCTTCAGCAGGGCGCAGCCCAGACAGACTCCAAAGCAAGCTCTGGGACTGGGTGGTCGGCACGTTTTTTGAGGTACCTACTCCGTAAGGTAAGGTAGTTGATCTGATGTTTCTCTCCCATCGCCTCAGATCATGTCAAAGTTTTCGTCTTGCTTTTTCCTTTGATTTCATAGTAAAAAGAGTGATTCTGGGATCTGGTTCATACACAATTGCTTGCGGCAAGCAAAGAGTAGTCGCATTCTTTCCCCGGTGACTTTACACTAGGTAGAGTATCCGTATACTTGATCGCAGACTCGACAACGGCCCTCCCCGAGTCCCGCGTTCCCCGAAAGCGGATCCTAGGAAGCGCACTACTGGACGTGGACCGTACCGCAGCAGTACGGACCTGCGTCAGCGTCCCCGTCAAACCGGTCAGCTTCTTGCCCACTTTGGTTACCGGGGGGAAAGCAAGCAAGCAGCAGCAGCAGCACAGCAAGTAAGCGGGCAAGCTATTAGCTGTCCTGATTCTTGTTTCTCCAATCGCGCGCCCACGCAAGAATCCCACGATCTTACAGCATACGACCACGTTGATCCTCTTTTCTGGTCATTTCAATTGTTTGTCCGCGTAGTCTCAATCGCGAGACTTGATCGACGACACTCTTCTTCCCGACCTCGTTCGGCACGGACTCCCAATTCCGGGTAGAGAATACGCCTTCTCTCTCTCAAAGTGTCCGATCACCATTACGCCGACCAAGAACGGACGACTGCGGAATCTCTTGGGTCTACAACACCAGCGCTTCAACATCCAACATACGCGAACTCGACGACAATTTCCTGGAGTACCATACCATACCGGGTCGAACCCTCCGTCGTCTTTACGCAATCAACACACAACAAACCTCAAGATGGCGCAAATATTCCTCGACGTGCTCTACTCCTTTGGCAACTGCCTCAACTGCTTCCCCGGCTCACCGACGCTCAAGATCAACAGTCGGAGCTTCAAGATCCTCCGCCTGCTGGGCGAGGTAAGCTTCGCGCTTTTCCTTCCCTGCCTCGCGAAATTGGACATGGTACTAATCATTTGCGAAACCTACAGGGCGGCTTCTCCTACGTCTACCTCGTCCAAGACACCCAAACCGCCGAAGAATTCGCCCTCAAAAAGATCAGGTGCCCCTTTGGCGCAGAGTCGGTCGCCCAGGCCATGAAGGAGGTCGACGCCTACCGCCTCTTCGCCCGCAGCCCGGGCATCATCCACGGCGTCGACCACGCCATCGCCACCGAGCGCGGCGGCGAGCCCGGGTCAAAGACGGTCTACGTCCTCCTCCCCTACTACCGCCGCGGCAACCTCCAGGACCTCATCAACGCCAACCTCGTAAACCACACCGCGTTTCCCGAGCGCAGGCTCATGCTCCTGTTTCTCGGTGTGTGCAAGGCGCTTAGGGAGATGCATCACTACACCGGCGGCGGCGGCGGCGGGCAATCCTCATCACAGCCCGCCGCGATGGAGAGGATGGAGATGGGCAACGGTGACGAGGACGACCAGGGCGCCGGGCCGAAGCGCAAGAAGAGCGGCAAGAAGAACAAGGGCGGGAAGCGCGTCTCCAGCATGGCCGCCGCCGCGGGCGCCGACGAAGAGGACGAGAGCGAGCAGCAGCGACCGCTGATGGAGGGCGAGACGCCCGGGTCCGGGGACGTAAAGTCGTATGCACACAGGGACATCAAGCCAGGTCCGTTGCCCCCTAATCCCCAATCACCCCCATGTACTCTTCAGAAAGACAGACGCCCAAGAACTAACATTACGGCCGAAAACAGGCAACATCATGATTGACGACTCGGGCTCGAACCCAATCCTAATGGACCTGGGCTCCATCGCCCCCTCCCCGATCCCGATAACATCCCACTCCCTCGCCATCGCCGTCCAGGACACGGCCGCCGAGCACAGCACGATGCCCTACCGCGCCCCCGAACTCTTCGACGTCCGCACCGGCACCGTCATCGACACAAAAGTCGACATCTGGTCCATGGGCTGCACCCTCTACGCCTGCCTCGTCGGTAAGTCCCCCTTTGAGGCTCGCTCCGACGAGACGGGCGGCTCCCTCAGCATGTGCGTCCTCGGCGGCGACTGGCGCTTCCCCGACGAGGGCATCAAGCGCACCGGCACCAGCGGCGGTATGAAGGGCAAAGCGGCCGCCACGGCGGACGCCGGTGCGGGAGCCGGAGAAGTCAAGATTAGCGAGCCCATTCGCGATGTCGTGAGGAAATGTCTCAATGTCGAGCCTACCGAGAGACCGGACATTGATGAGCTCATTGAGTTGGTGGAGAGTGTCATTGAGGACTTGCCTCAAGACGGATCGTTGTGAATGCGGCAGATGGACCCAAGGACGAGCGAACCGCAGAGGCTTGCGCAAAGAGTGATGTATTGTATAACGATGTTTCATCTTTCTACTATTCCCAGGGAAGATTTGATAGGCTTCATGTCACCACGGCGTTCTAGGGAGGGCGTATGTAGGCAAAGGAGCTAGAGAGATATTCTGGTTTTGTTTTGGTTCTTTTTTAAGAGTTTTTTGAAGTACAGGTATTCACGTTCCAGGCGCCTACCAAAAGCCTTCATTATCCATCGCAGCGCCTCCTAACCCAAGTGTACATATTCATGGTCCAAGATCTCGCTCAAGGTGGAGGCGAGCTGTTCGTTCACCTCGTCATACTCATCCTCATCCGAAGGACACTCGTGATCGAGACCGCAGTCGATCAAGTCTTCATCCTACAACTCGAGGCGGTATGTTGCGATCTCGAAGGGTCGCAGAGTAATCGAGAACTTTCCACCGTCAACCTTGATTTCCTCAACGTCGTCCTCCAAAAGGTTGCACTTGAAAACGCGCTTGACGTCCCAAGTCGTCTCAATAACACCCTTGCTCTGGCCGCCGAGACTGTCGTAAACGCGAAGAATAACGTTGCGGCCCTTGCGCTTGGGGAGCTCGCCACGCGATACATCCTCGTCGTCCTCGCCACGCTTGACGGTATCGAGGATTAAGGAGCCATCCCCAGTGAGCTTCACAGGGCTCTTGCTGAGAGATGCCTGCACGGCGCTGGGCGCAGAAAGTAGCTTCAGAGGGCTGTTGAAGGCATAGGCTGCCCGTACAGTGGAGGAGCTCAGTGTTCCTTCGTGAGGGAAGATTGCCCAGCGAATTTGGTGGGTTCCCATGTCAGCGTGAGCATCAGGAGCCTTGGGAGACCGAAGAAGAGAGAGGCGCTGCAGGTTGCCGACAGTGGCGAAACCATACTTGCTATCGTTGAGGATAGAAACTCCGTAGTTGTGCTCAGAGAGATCAGCGAAACGGTGGCAGCAGACCTCGAACTTGGCCATGTCCCAGCTGTACAAGTCATTAGCAATAACTCTGTCATGACATATCGGAAAAAGCATACCTGGTGTTGTAGTGAGTAGGTCGCTTCACAAGACCATACGCTGTTTCGTAAGAGGCCTCGGTATTTCTGACATCCACGGGGAATTCGACCTTGAGGAACTTCATAGTCTCGTGCCAGTCAACTTCAGCACTGCACTCAACCCATGACTGTTGTCCCTTGAGGGCGGCGGAGAGAGAAATGGTGGACTTGATCGAACTCTCTTCGCTGATCTTGATCTGAGTAGTCAAGCTGACGCGATGGGCCTTTTTCTCAGTAATTGAGGTTGTGCCACTCGGGAGCTCCTTTCGAGTGTCGAGGTGGTACACCTCGACATCCCAGGCTTGCCAGTAGAGAGGCTTGTCATCAAAGATGACGTACTGATTGGCTTTGCCTCCCTTTGCGATCACCTCGCGATCGGCATTACGGTCGTAGAGGGATGTAATGGTGCCATTCTCGACCTTGACCTTGAGCTGGTCGTTTTGTAAGACAAAGACGCCGCTGCTGACTTCTTCAATCGTAACAGCTGGCTCTTCTTCAGAAATCTTGAAGGGACGAATGGTCAACAACTGGCCCTCGCCACAGGCAACACCCGCTTCGTTATCAGATATTTCGACGACCTCCTTGCGGTGCCAAGGGAGAGTATTCAGGGCGACCGTCTCACTAAGACGGCCGGTGGTGGCGGCGGACGCTCCAAAGACACTGTGGATATCCTCAAGAATCTTCTTGCCCGTCTTGAAGACCATGTCGTAGAGCTAGCCAATCTAGTCAGCAATAGTTCAGGTGACATCCGCTGCGTCAAGACTTACCTCGTCTGAATCATCATAACACATCTCGATGGAGCTACCCGGAAGACAATCGTGGAATTGGCAGAGCAGAACAGCCTCCCACATATCGTCTATCTCCTTCTTGGGATATTTGTAGCTCTTGCTGGTATCACTAAGCGTCGCAATGGTGGCAAGCAGTTCAACTTCCCTGAGCAGGACCTCCGACTTGCGGTTGTTGAGCTTGTTGTTCGCCTGCGTGGTATATGTACCGCGATGAAGCTCGAAATAGAGCTCGCCGTACCAAGTAACAAACTCTGTAGCTTTCGGCTGCAGCTTGTCGAAGAAGTCATCGACGCTGTTGCCCATCTGCACTCTAGGCAACATGCCAATCTGATCGGAGATACCGCGACACCTGCGAAGCTTTTCGAGGTGCTGCCAAGTAGGGCCGCCGCCACCATCGCCCTTTCCGAATACAAGCAAGGAGGTGTGGTCCTGGTCCATCGACTTGTGCTGGCTGACACTGCGCTTCACGTCACCAAAGTGTGCTTCGGCAGTGTAGGTCTCTGATGGCGGCATGTGACAGATTACTTGGCTACCATCAAGAGCAACCCAGTTGAAGGTAGTGTGTGGGAAGTTGTTGATGTTGTTCCAGCTGAGCTTCTGGGTGAGGAAGCGATTCATGCCAGCAAGTCGGCACAGCTGTGGAAGCTGAGCAGCGTATCCAAAGGTGTCGGGAAGCCAGAAGGTCTGGCAACGCTCGCCAAAGTTGCTTTCAAAGAATCTCTGTCCGTACAGGAATTGTCGCACAAGAGACTCTCCACTGGGCATGTTGGTGTCGTGCTCGACCCAGCTGCCTCCGATAGGATGGAATCGGCCCTCCTTGACCTTCGTCTTGACACGATCAAAGGCATAGGGGTACAACTCCTTCAACCACTTGTATTGCTGGGCTTGCGAGCAAGCAAAGTTCAGCTCCGGGTATCGATCCATCAAATCGCACTGGTTAGACCAAGACCTGACGACTTTACGCTTAGTCTCAGCCCAAGGCCAGAGCCAACAACTATCGATATGACAATGGCCAATGCCGTAGACTTGAGGCTCTTTGTCATCGCTGTAGACCTTGTGCGAGTCGACATTAGAGCCAAGGTACTCCTGAGCGATCTTTCGACACTTTACGATCGATTCCTTGTTGCCGAGCTCAAAGGCGTCAATGACATCGGTGGCAACCTTGAGAGCTCTGTGCTGCTCCCACGAGTCCTGAGGAAACTCCCGTGCAGCATCGCCAATGATCCAGATATCAAAGTAAAGTGCTCGTGCTTCAGGGTTGACAGCAACTATGTCAGCCCGTCCCAGTTGAAAGTACTTGTTTGGATCTGGAGGCTGGATCGAGTCTCCACCGGGAGCGTTTCCGAACATGCCGTTGCAGGCCATCTCAATGTAGATGGTGTGCTCCTTGCCGTCCCTGAACTCCTTGGGCAGGATCCATTCTACCCGCTCGCCACCCCCAGTAAGACCCTGCAGCGGCTTGCCATCCTCGGTCCAGATGAGGCCTTCATTATTGGCATCCCAGTGAAGTTCAAGCAGGTCCTTGTCACGAAGTTCTTTCGGAACGGTCAAGACAACCTTGAACCAATGTGTCGACCATGATGGGCCAAACCAGGCGCCCACCTCGGTCTTTTTGAATTCGTGCGAAACAGCGTCTTTGAACGTCGGTCGAGTGGTTTCGGGAGCGTCCCAAACGGACAGTTTAACATGAGGTTCGCCCGATGCGGTGCCCTCCGTCATCATGCTATAGCGCAGTTAGCGGGACGTTCCCCAGCTTTACTACGGGGCATTGTGGGGGGTTACGCACGCCAGGAGGTTGTGCTTCTCCCATTGCCCGGTAGAGTAGAATTGGTTAATTCTATCCTTGTAGAGCTTTGAGATCCATTGTCCGACAGGTCGGGACGCGAGAGCTGGGTAAGAGCTCTTGCTCTTGATTTCTTTTCCGCCACCCATGGTGGTCTGTCCAGCGAAGCTGTCGAGTAGCCTGTCTTCGGACTGCTTCAATTGCTCGACGGTACCAGGTGGAGCTGATCGATTGTTCAATCGGCGAACACGATGGGGCACCGATAAGTGGTGATGATCGGATCGCGGAGCAGTTGGAGGTGGGCCGGCGCCTTGTTCTTCTGAAGACTGGGAAGCTCGGAAGGCGTCGTTGAGGTGTTGATTAAGGGTTTTGGAGTTGTTATGACTACGAAAAGAGGGTGTTCTTGTTAGCTTTGACCTCGGGATTGTCTGAAAGCAGAGACGGACTCGAAGCTCTTGAGGGGGGAGCTAAGGCAGAGCACGGGAGTACCCCTGCAGTACGGATAGACAGACGCTGAAACACAGCCAGTAGGAGCGTGCGGGGACAGCTCGGTGCAGCGACAAGTGCGGGGAGGTTGGGCAAAGGATGGGCGTGTGATAGAGGTGACGCAGCCATCATGCGATCCCCCCTTGGAGAAGCTAAGTAGCTCGGAACAGCGGGCGGAATATGCTCGGTGGATCGTCCACCATTGAGAGCACCTCACATACCTCATCTTGTCGATGTGGTGATACGAATACAGCGCCCAGCGGCTGAGAGGGGAAGGTCACGGTGTAGAGGATTGTCGACAAGACCGGTGTTAGGATCGTGATTCGATACCCGCCCGGGCTGAGTTAGCCGGAGCAAGAAGCGCTACGGATGGAGATGAGGTAGACGAGTACAATGAGGATATGCGAATGGCCACCAAAAAGGAATAAGGGCCCTCGGAGAAAGGAAACAAGAAACGATGCAGAGCACAGCTTGTTATTGTGAGGTGTCGAATGCCACCTTGCAGTGTGATGTTGACGAGGGAATTTGGAGACAGCCAGAATGTACCTTCGTCGGTGTAAGTCATATTTTCATTACGTTCGAGCGAGTGCACTTACCCCCAGCCGGTATGCACAGAACACGCAAGTACGGTTGCTGCACTTGCAGCTTACCTCTGGTTCATCCATGGTCATACAGGTATCGCGGTCCAAAATGCTCCTGCTGCGCCTGAAGTGGGCGAGTACGCAGCGCTTGTCAGAAACCTACCGTAAGTCACAACCCTATGAAGGGGGCTCCGCAGCCAGATAGCCATGTCGACCACATTGCATTGTTCCCCATACTCGCTTTCGACTTTAATGTCCATACAGCGGGTCAGATTGATAGAAATAGTGAGAGAGGGAGAGAGATAGTATACAGTCAGGATACTAAGTCATAAATATTCACAACTCCTAGTTGGATCTCGTGAATAGTTGTCCAGCCATCAAACGCAACATCATGCACCACAATTTTGACAAGAAGTGGTCTTGTGAGCTCGAGTCGCAAATACAGTTACACCAATACAACGACAAAAAGAGGTTACATCATTGGGGGATATCGGGCAGAGCAGGTGTCATTTCTGTACGCCTTCGCATGCATGTAAGGTAGAACGAGGTGGATATCCGGGGCAACCTGTAGGGAGTGGGAGACATGCAGATGAGTGCGCATATCGCTTGTCATTGAAATGGGGAACCGGCGGCAGCTTGATCGCGATCACCAGATCACCAGTTCAAGAGTCCGAGGGCACATTCTTTCAAGGGGACCTCCTTCACTTCCCATGTGCAAGAGGAAAAGCACCGGAAAATGTCAACCGACGGAAGTGGCGCCAATGGAAGACAAGCACAATCCCAGTTGGTTGGAGGACATGGGTTGCTGTTCGTAAGCGAAAAGCGATGGTTCGATTGTTCCACGAGATTTAAAAAATCGGTGCCCGCCAACATACGATCCCCGATTTAAGGTTTCCCCCATCTACTTCTGTCATTTTGCAAGTTCGGAGGCAGAGAACCGTCAGCTTTTCAAGGCTTGAGATGATCACTCATCAGCTGAAATTTGTAGAATGGGATGAAATTGAAATTTTGTAAGAATGTTCGTCTTTGTTTCCTACAGACGCGGTCCAGGATATAAAGATACTACGTGCAGAGTGGCCAAAATAGCAAGGTATGTAGATCGCCCAGGGTAACTAATCCAATCGTCACATCGTTGTCCATCCATGCCCGCCGTTGAACGCCACACATTAAAAAAGCAAAAAGCCGAGAAAGAAGCAAACCAAAGGTCCCCAAACACCAACTTCAAGATGACAAGCCAGAGTCCTTGCCCCGACTTCCGGTGCCAGTGCCCGTACCGCGGTGAACGAGTTCGGATCCATCCTCTTCGTCCTCCTCATCGTCCAGATCCAAATCTTCATCGTCGTATTCTTCAACTTCACCATCTTCGAGCTCATCCTCCATGAGCTGGTCAAAGTCGTCGTCGGCCTCGCTCTCACTCTCACTTTCGTCCTCCTCAAAGCCTAGCACGCCGAGGATGGGCACTTCCACCTTGCGGTACTGACTCCTAATCATGTTGTCGGCCATTTCAAATAGCTTGGCGTCTTTGTCGGGTGGGACCTCCTTGTCCATGGAGAAGTGGGCTTCCTCTTGGTCAGCGAGGTCATCGAGCCCCGGAATGTGCGGTGATGACATGCCCTCGGGCACATTCATGACCCAGCGCCGTACTCCTTCGCCCTTCGTGACGCGGGACCGGGTGCTCTGCGCCCTCAAGCCGGTGCGGAATTGCTTCTTTTGCCTCCGGCGTCTCCGCTGAATCCGGTCGCGGATGTACCACGCGACCACCAACATGGCTGCCTGCATCATCTCTTGACACTTTTGCCTGTGCATGTTGGCCCAAGCCTGGCATCTTTGCTGCTGCGCGTTGGAGATAGCCTGGCAGCGTTGCTGGTAATAGGCGGCGATGCGTGAAACCATAGCGACATATCGGGGATCCATGGGCGGCTGGTTCGGGTCTGCATTCGCACTAGGAATCGACGTCGGCTTTGGAGGGGCCATGGACGGGTTGTTGAATGGTGATTGCTCCTTCTTCATTGTGACATGATCATTGGTGATGTTGGCCTCGGCGGCCTTGCGTTTCAGTTGAGCAGACAGGGGAAGTGCAGGTTTCCGGAAGGAGAGATGCTCGGGCGGAGGTGTGACGGGAGCTAAAGGGTTGAAGTTGATTGTAGGTAGATGCGCCGCCATAGAGGATGGTTGTGATGTGAGCAGCGTTGCTCTATCGTGGTAAGTGGTGTAGTTGGTGTTTTTGTGGTTCAAGTTGTAAGTGCACCAGGGCGTGTAAGCGAGTTCGCTCTGTTGTCGATCGATAAAACACGTTCGTGACAGCAACGGGGGGGTGGTGTCTACTATTCGAAGTCCTAGACAAGTCGTAGGATGAGGTATTCGGCAGTAACAGATAATAGAGTGAGGTGAGTCCGGGAGGATCGAGGACCAAGAAGGAGTCGTGGATGTTGGCAAGGGCGGGAGTAATAGTAGTGGTCGTGGTTTGTGGTGGTGGTAGTAGTGTTGGCAGCAGATGAGACGGATAAGGGTGTGGGATGGTTGGGATCCGCTGAAGACAGATAGACAGGCGAGGTAGACGTATCAAACCAAGTGTTCGGGAGGAAATGAGGGGTGACTGGTTGGAAACGGGGGGCACTGAAAAAGAGATATATACCTACAAGGCGATATTTCAAATGCAAAGGGCGACATGACGGCGCATGTTGCCATGTTTGGGCCAAGGGTCTGATGATAAATTTGGAGAGTGAGCGGGAATGGGCTGAGAAGGAGTCGAAATCGGTCGATACCGAATGGCAACCGCGCCGTACTTTTGGGGCCAGGCCCGGTACGTACCCCACGTACCTCGATGCTGTAGGGCGGGCGGCCCAGGTACTTTCACCGACTTGTTGCAACTCCGCTTACAACGGCCATCCCGTGAGCTGCGGGTGGGTCCTCTTTTTCTCTCTCGAAGGTACTCCTTCTTCCGTCCGTCGCACTTTTCATCCATCAAGCGGATATAGGGATTAGGGGATTGTGCTTTCCTTACAGCCATTTACCGGTCAAGAGCATTACCTTTCCGTAAAGTAAGGTGCCTGCTTACCAAGGTAAAGGGAGGTAGAGGCGGTCAAGTCATTCTTCCGGTCGAAAAGCGTTGTATCCATCCGGTGCAGGTGAGGTAGGTAAGCAGTTGGTGGCATTATTGTGCTTACACGTCGTCGCAATCCTCCGGGCCCAACCTAAGCTCACTATCTGTACACCTCACCTCGAAAACCAGCCTGGGTGAGGTGGGTGGACTATCATCCAAGCATCATCCAGTCGCCTGGTATGAGTGTGGCATGCTACGATCCGAACCATCCATTTCCCCATAATCCCATGTTGCACTGTCCCATCGTCTGCCTTGCTTCCATATGCGCGCACATCCGACGATGTCTTCTCCAGACAGCCTCCAGCAGCCGCTGCCAGACCAAGCCACCCCATCATCACCCATGCCGTCTCAGTAGCCACACTCGCACAACATCAACGCAACTTACCTTTTGGAACTCCAACTTTTGTGCATATTGACTTTCTCTCCCCTTATCGAACCCCCTTTGCAGCCCCGCGCGACACGGGTCGGGTCCTGGCATGCGGATTCTTTTCTCGATCCATCGTCAATGCCAAAACACAACAGCCCATGTCTTTCCATCTAAACCGGACATTCCCATGCCGCCGCTGCCATGTGTCCAGGCCCAGACATCGCCAGCACACAGTACACACAGGTGGTAGTTGTCAAGCTACGCAGTAGGCAGGCAACGCAAAGCTACCCTGAAAAGGGCAAGAAACGCAGGGTGCTGCCGCACAATGGAGATTGGGTATTCTAGGGCGGCGGCAACCTCTGCCCGTCTGCCCATCTTTGATTGTCTCCAGCCCACCCTCATCCGCCTTCCTGCAAGCGGTCCTAGGCTCATAGGTGTAGCCCTCCCCAAAAGACCCAAAAGGGCCACGGTGATGGATCCAGCCGTCCGTTGATCCCAATGGCCGGTGAGCCACGATATGGCCATGACCGCTACGTATGATGCGACCCCCGCCCTGTCAACCTCAACATGACGGTGTTATCATTCGACCATCGCCCGCAGAGCAATGCACTACAGCATCAGCCTCACCACCAACAGAAAGTTCGCTTCCTCTCAGTGGTTGTCTAGGCGCTGTCGGCATGTCAGGCACTGTGTTCTTGTGCCCGAAATTCTTAGTGTTCTGTTCACCTTCTTGCTGCAGCGAGGCAACCGCGCTGCCGGATTGTTCCGCAACTCTGGCCCAAGACTACCCGAAACCTCCATTCAAAGCAACCCGAGGCCTCACATCTTCACCCTCCAGACGAGAGTACTGGAAAGAAATACAGTCGTCCTCTACAGGAGCGCACTGTCACCCACACACCATGATCCATTGAACCACCCTATCTTTGCCAACATATTGTAATTGTGGCCCTTTCAACTCCTCCAACGGGCCTCCACGCTTGTCCCTGCTACGTACGACCTGTCCAACAGAATGACGCTAGACGAAACAGAGTCTCGTAAGACGATGATGCACACCAGGCAGGTACCCGTAAAAAAAGAACCAACGTGCCTACCCAAACGCAACACCCTACAGCAAACGCAATCTTTGATCGTCACCGTTGCTATCCTTTCTTGGCTTTTTTGCGCTCACAGCAATTGCGATCTTGACGCATCCCTCCCTTTCGCCGCGAATCTTGCTTACAAGACCGACTCTATCTGTCTAGATGGGCCAAACAGGACCTTACTTCTGCGGGTACAGGACCCCTAATTCCGACACTGTCCCCTTCTCCATTAACCCCGTTTCTTCTCCGCTTGGCAACTCCATTCTTATTTGGTCCTACTTCCGGTTGGCGAAGCTTCCACCATGATTACGTTATCACTGCAATAGACTGGAGTTTTTGTCGGATTCCAAGGTATCCGCAGGCAATCGTTATTGCCCGCTGTCCGATTGCCTCCCGTCTGTTGTGTAATTGCGTTGGTGTAAGCAGGCCCCGCCGTCACATCTCCGACGACACATAGGGCCTCGTTTAACTCTTTATCGCCGATAGCCTTCAGGAACATGTCATGCCATTTCTACCCCAGTCTGTATGCCATGCTACCTTACCTCAACGTACAAGTAAGGCACCTCGAGGCGGTACGAACCACACACCCGGACACCTGGACCATGTGCTCCACACAAACAGTTCACAGCGGCCGGCCTGCCAGTCCCGTCTGCAAAGAATCCTCCCAATGGGAACCAATCGATTCGGGCGGATTCAAGCTACCGTCCCGAAAAATCTCGCGATAATTCACGTCCGCGCTGCCGCTCGCATGATTTCCATTCAGCCCATTCCAACCCCGGTTTCCATCTATCTTTTACCCGAATCATTATCTCATCATTCGACTGTAACCTCCGCTTGCCGTCACAGCACCATACTACATTCCTAAGCTCCCTTGCGCATGTACCTACACTGACTAACCCAGCCAACCAACAAGAGCAAAGAAAAAACTTGGATCAACATCGCGTCCAAACAGCTCACATTCATGATATGCTCACATGTTACCCCGACCACTCACCACACTCGCCTGTCATGATCTGGTTACCCCATTACTGAGTACTGCTCGATCTTGCTCTGTCTCCGCACATCACCTCCGCCTGCGCCGCTGTAATGGAGTGATTCGCGGCTCCAGCTTCGGCCGAGAGGTTGGAGTCTTTGGACTGCCGGGCGGGAGGAGCTGGCACTTGTCCGTCTTTGCCAGGGGCAAGAAGACAAAGTCCAAAGTGAAGCTGGACGATCTTCCCCAGGGCGTTTTGCCGCTGGATCCCCGTCCCGTGCAAGATGAGGGCCCGACCTATCCAACCGTGGTGCTGCAAGCGCGCCGCAACATGCAAAAATTCGACAACTGCGTGCTCTTGACGCGAGTCGGCGGTTTCTATGAGCTGTACTTTGAGCACGCCGAGGAGTTCGGCCCCCTCCTGAACCTCAAGGTTGCTCAGAAAAAGACGAGTGCCGGTCCGGTTTCCATGGTAAATTAGTTCTCCTCTCGTGTACCAGAAAAACGTGCGCTGTTAGTCTCGTGTTCTTTGAGTCTGATATGTGATGGTTACTAGGCCGGCTTTCCCTTCTTCCAGCTGGATCGGTTCCTCAAGATACTGGTCCAGGACCTGAATCGCTATGTCGCTATTGCTGAGGAGTTTCCCAATAATGCGTCCGAGAAGGTCAAGTCTGGTGGTCTGTTGCATGATCGGAGAGTTGCTCGTGTCATCACGCCAGGAACCTTGATTGATGAGAACTTCATGGATCCCTATGCCAATAACTACGTGCTGGCTATCCATGCGACGACAGCCCAGCCCGGGGGAGGGGTAGACGAGACAGGAGCCCCAGACTCGTCCCATTCAGCCGCTGACTGGAGCGTGACACCGGCAACTGGTGACTCTGCCGCACCACCACCACCACCGCTACCCCTGGGCCTCGCCTGGCTAGACCTTTCCACCGGTCAGTTCTACACGCAGGCCACCGATCTGTCGGCTCTATCTTCGATCTTGTCGAGGATATGCCCCAAAGAAGTCGTGCTCGACAGCGAGATCCAGGCCCAGACCGACCATGGCCTGTTACCCATCCTCGCCGAGGACCGTCATCTGGTCACTTACAGTTCCCTCGGCGATATCAGGCGTCTTTCTGATTGGGCCTTTATGCTAGAGAGCGAAATCCCTCAGGCCACGCGCGATGCCTTCACCGGGCGTGAGGTTACGGCTGGCAGCCTCCTGCTGCATTACGTCAAGGAGAGGCTGCTAGGGCTGAGCATGAAGCTGCAGCCGCCGACACGACACGAGAACATGCAAATCATGAGCATTGACAAGAACAGCGTGCGCTCGCTCGAGATTAAACAGACGATTCGGGACGGCAACTTTCGCGGCAGCCTCCTCCACGCCATCAGACGGACGGCCACCAAGAGCGGCGCCCGGCTCCTCAACGACTGGCTCAGCGCGCCGTCCACATCGCTCGACACCATCAAGCTCAGACAAGACCTGGTCGCCCGCTTTATCGAGGAGCCGAACCTGCGCGACGCCGTGGTCCTACTGCTCCGCCGCAGCCACGACTCCCAGCGACTCGTGCAGAAGTTCGCTCTCGGCAGAGGAGACCCAGACGACCTGGTGGCCCTGGCGAACACGATCCATGCCACTAACAATATTCAACAGCTGTTGGCGGAAGCGGCCGACGAGACCAAGTGCCTCGCGCACATGATGGCCCGCCTGAACCTCAAGGGGCCCCTGAGCCTCGCGCGCCGCATCAAGGATGCCATCGACGAGGAGGGCATCGTCCACCAGCACGAGATCGAGGCCAGCGAGGCGGGGCAGATGATGGCCCTCGCCCAGGAAATCGTCAGTAACGAAGGCACAGAAGATGACGCGGCTGCTCTTCCCAAGGGAGCCTCCGC